ACACCGAAAACACCAAGAAATAAAGACCCAGGTTTCTATGTTCTGTTTATATTTTTCTTTCTTTGATCAGAAAGCAAAAGTAGAGAGAGTCTAGGGTTGGAGCTGAGTCCTTGGGTTTAAGGTCTAGTGTGAAAACAGAAAAGAAAAACAGGTGGGGGGGGCGTGGAGAGAAAGAGTCACTGCACAGATCCCCATTTATACACCAAAAGCACTGACCAGTGATCGGCACCTTGCTGGATTTGTGTCAGGTTTCCATTTAAAGCAATGAAGCCTTTCTAAAGTGGAATCCTGCTGTTTCCTCGATGGTCTTTGCTTCTGAAGACCCCCTCTCTAAGGAGCAGGTCAGGGATCCTTCTCATGCAGCACCTCAGAGTTCGGCTGCGTATATTTACATATGCTTTCTGGACATTGCAATGGCTACTGCCATCACATGCACTACTTAGAGTATTATTTTGTGTATTTTAACAACTGGTAGCATAATGGCTTGCAACTTGCTTTTTCTCAGTCAACATTATGTTTTTAGTATTGATCTCCTAATACAAACAGATCTAATTCACTAATTTTAAATGTGCTAAACAAATGTTTTTGAGTGGCTAAGACAACTTATTCTTCCAATGATGAGGTGTTCCCGTTATTTCTAGTTCTTTGCCATTCCAAGCAGCCCCTCCGTGAATGGATGGCCTTTGAAACCGTCTCCTGAATTCAGCAGAATTTCACTGGGGTAATTTCCTAGATGTGAAACCGCTAAACCAAAGGAGATAACCATTCCCAAATTGATTGAGATATTGTCAAAGTGTCCTCCAATGTGGCTGTGCCGTAGCACACTTCACTTTGGCAACAGGCGAAATGGCTTTTACGTAACAAACACTAAATGATCCATTCTCCAGTTCAGAGTCTCCATTACAGAATTTACCCCACCCACCCCTGGCCAGGTGTCCTGTGTGTTTCTTCTCAGGCAGTTCTCCCACCTTGAGAGTTACTGGCTTCACTTTGGAAAAGAATAGAGAAAATATTAAAACGCTGTTCATTTTCATCCAGAATCAAGGACACCATTTCTGCCAAAAATGTGCTGTGTTAGGTGTTATCGCAGAATGAATCTTTTCCTTAATCGAAAGTTAACACGCATGCCTTTATGCTCCCCACTTGAATGAATAAACAACTTCTGACTTTTCCAACACTTTCACAGGTCCTCGGGGAGTTGTCCAAACACTTTGAGCATTTAAAAAATGTTTCCTGCTTATTTAAAAATCTTTTGAAAGGTAGATAATAAGAACCAGTAATTCCAGGTCTTGGCATAACTCATCTCCAAAATTCCTTGAGTCTGGTGGTGGTGGGGGCGGCTATCAGGTATCCATCTTAAAACTTCATGTTAATGTCCCACAAATATGGGTGTCAGTTCCACCTCTAGAACAACTTCCTATACTTGTAACTGTAGTTGCTACTCTGGGGGATCGCAGTTGATGAATCTCATTTGCAGTTCCTTTTACCTTCTTTCTGCCTAGAAGAGAATGGCTGCTGTCTGGGAGATAAGCTACATACAGATTTCTTAACCGAGCTCTTCAATGTTGACAAAGCCAACTGACCATAGTGAATAGCAAAGCACACCCTTTGTAGCTACATCTCTTGGGGATGCCTTTAGTCTCTGTTTAGCACTCCACATTTGCACCCCCCCCCCCGCCCCGCCCGTTCTATGCTTTTTGTACTGAGGAAAGAACATAGGCTTCCACATTTTCTGGCTCATTTTGGTTCTTGCAAGAAAGGCTGCATTTAAATGTTGGCTCTTAACAGCACAGACTACAAAGAGCTCAGGACTGTCTTGAGGCCAAGTGCAAAATACTGGGTTCTGGGCTCTCGGTAACTACCAAGGAGATGCTGGTCATATCTGTGCAGTAAGCTCCCTTGAGGAACCCTACATGTGTAGTCTGACCTGAAATGCATAACATTTGTGAAGGTTTTTTTTTTTCTCCCAGAGGTATTGTGCCTACAGGTATAGTTAGATCTATGTTTTAAGGATTACAAAGGCTAACGTTTAGATACTATCTTAGAGATCCTGTAAGGAAGATGGGTTAAGCGGATCCTTGTCCCATGTCCAGTGCTAACAGTGGAGAGAGAGAGAGTTGAATGCACCTGAAAGCCATTAGGAAGGAGATTTGTGTATGGTAGTAGCTGTGCTTCCAAGACTGAGGGCAGAGTCAAGGCCAGATGAGTTTCTTCAACCCTAGACATGCCGCTATGAGATTGAAGAAAGCATACAGGACCATCACAGCTTTCTGTGAAATACTGCAATCAGTACTGGCCAAAGCCTGGAAGGCCTGGCCTCATGCCACATGCTGCTTGAGAAGATACTTCCTGACACATGATGATCTACTTTTTCTTCAAGGCAAGTCGGAGACACAAATTGGGGGTTTCTTGGTGGGCATATCTATTTAGAGCAGGAAATCCTCTCCCACTCATTTCAGGTTGGACTCGTGAGCACATGGTGTTCGGCTGAGCTCACACGCAGGCTGGCCCTTTGGTCTACAGTGTTACAGTCGCTTGCTGCTGAGGATCCGGGCTGGGAGCAGTCATGTGGACTGCTGTGCTCACATCTTAGGGTGTTTGTGGTAATTATTACCAGCAGCCTTTATGCAAAATGTCTTTGTATGGAAAGGGAAAAGGGATTTCATCCAAAAATGTTATCCCACTAATTATCACTAGTGGTGTTGAGGGGACAGGATAGTTTTGTTCAGTCTCTCTGGCTGGTGACCGCAGTCTCATGGGGTGAGATTCTTGAGTGTTATTTGACTGTTTTTGAAAAAAAAGAAAACAAAACAAAACCCAAAAAAAGATACAATGACAAAATCAGTGTAATGTCACCTAAACATGCTGTCTGCCTTTCGCTTGCTGCTGATCAGGGGGAGCTACCATGTAATATGCTTCCTTTTTCTGCTGTTAACCCAGAGCAAGGAACTGGAAGAAGCATTTAGCCTCAACTGTAACACAGTCCAGGGAGCTTTTCCTTCCTTTCGGGCTGAGTTGAGAATCAGCTGTGATGGTCCTGGTGTGGCTATCAAGTGTTAACTTCTCAGATGATTTCCTTTATTGGGTTGATGTTTGCCTTTTCCTGGGGGGCAGTGGAGAGGTTGGAGGAGGCCGATCAAGGGAGAGTATTCACTTGCTTTAAAATAATGGGTGGAAGTAAAAGAGAAACTCACAGGAAGCCCAGGGTCCTCCGGAATCGAGACACTGATCTGAATTAGTATGAACGGCCACACAATGAGGGTTTCTCTGGAAGATTTATTCTGAGGGTTTACTTGGAGAGAAAAAATGGGAGGGCTCAGAAAAAGAGGCGTGGTTTCTCAGGATGCCCTGGGGAACTCCTCAGCAGCTCCCAGGAGGCTGTACTGACTTTATTCAAAATATACTTAGTTCTCCTAGTGTCCTTGTAAGGTCTGTACTCCTAAGAAACTAGTTGTGTGTATGTACATGTGCATGTACGTATATGTTCAGGTGTGTGTGTGTGTGTGTGTGTGTGTCCACCTGTCTGTGAGTACACGTGCATGTGGAAGCCAGAGGTTAACTTCAGGTGTTGGTCCTCAGGAGCCATCTACCTTGTTTGGTGATACTGGGTCTCTTATGGGAACCTGGAACTCATCATCATGGCAGGCTCATAGGCCATCAAGGCCCAGGGATCTGCTTGCCCCCCCCCCCCTCCCCGCAGTAAGATTCCAAGCTTGTGCTACCATGCCCAGCTTTTTTTTTTTTGGAGACAGGGTTTCTCCTTGTAGTTTTGGTTCCTGTACTGGCTCTCACTCTGTAGATCAGGCTGGCTTCGAACTCACAAGAGAACCGCCTGGCTCTGCCTCCTGAGTGCTGGCTGGGATAAAAGGTGTGCGCCACCCCTGCCCAGCAGCCATGTCCAGCTCTTTATATGGGTGCTGGGGATTTAGCTCAGGGCCTCACGTGTCTGCAGGAAGTACATTGCCAACTCAACTATCTGCCCAGACCTCCGAGGAACTATTGAACTGCCTTGTGCTTCCTGGCTGCCTCGATGTCTGGGGAAACCTTAGAAAATTACTGTTTAGTGGATGTGTAACGGCCTTATCTCCTGCTCCTGGACACCATGTCACAGGAAGTTCCTGGAACCAAAGTGGTTTCTGGAGGGGCACTAGTGACTACTTTCAGCCCTCACCCTGTGTCTAGCCAAGTTGCTGGAATAAGGATTCTTTTGGTGGTGGTGGTGGTGGGGGCAGCGGGGATCGGGGCGTGTCCTGTGATATTGACTGGCTTGAAGTGGGTTTTCTTTTTCTTTTTCCTATCTTGAGGAATCTGCTAGGGCTGACCTCAGGCAACGATGATGAAAGTGACCTTGGTTGAGAAATGTAAACTCCGGAGGAGACAGCTGTTTTCCTCTTCCCCTTTCTGGGGATGTTTTGGGATGATCCCTCCCTTAAGGGCTTCAGAGACCTACATCTCCTGTGGGGGGACAGTCCCTTTCTCTCATCCCAGAGTCCGTTTTTTTACCAGTCCTCTACAGTTCTACAACTTCCCAGCTGCCTTCTGCTGGGGATCACCCAGCTCGGGCGGATGGACAGTGGCTGCCTCCTCGAAGGCTTTCGAATGGCTGCATGCTGGAGACTGAGGCCTTTTTACGTGCCGGTTCCAACCATGTCAGTGCGGCCTCTTCTTTCAGCTTGCTTTGTTTATCCGGCAGCTCATTATTTAAGACTAGCCTGTCAAAATAGGTTAAATATTCTTTGGGAAATCTGGTCACATCCTTGAGACACCACAACTATGTTTAATACAGGGAAGATTGGCTTGATAAGAGAAACGTGATCGACTTGCCCCACCAAAAAATATTTTCCTGTTACCCTGGCTGAGTTTCCACGGCCATCAATAGGCACTAGCGAACCCAAGGACCGTAAATCCCCGTGGCTGACGTGGAAAGACATCAAGGGAAACAGGGAGAAGGATTGCTGATGATTCGTTCTAACTACTTGACCTTCTGACCTCTTCTCTAGATATATGATCAAGATGGGACACTTCAGCACTTTATTGATGGTGGGGAGCCCAGCAAGTCGAGCTGGATGAGGTATATCCGATGTGCAAGGCACTGTGGAGAGCAGAATCTAACAGTAGTTCAGTACAGGTAAAGTATGACTTGGTTTACTGCTGGAACCCCTTGGCTTGCAAATACAAACCCAGGCTTGCTGAGAAGTGGTTGAAAACATCCTGCCGAACTCTGCATAGATCTGTTTGTCTTTTCTGGGTCTCTGAAATGCCCTAGTTCATGGACATTCAGGCGCTAGCAGAGATCCTCTCTGACTCCACACACAGGCTGACGTTACTCTGCGTGGTCACTTGAATGTCCATACGGACCCGAATGAGCTTGACAGCCCCACCGAATCGGGGTGAACTCCCCCAGCAGGTGTGAACACACACATACATATAAATGGAAGCTTGCAGACTCAGCTCCAGACCTGTTCCTTTCAGTCTCCATCAGTCTGTCTCTCAGAGACAGAATTGGGTTCATTTGCTCAAAGGTCTGGAAAACCAAGAACTCAGTCTTTCCAAACCGGCCATGCTGGGCAGCGGGACTGAGCCACGGCGACCTCTCCCGCTCTCTCAAAAGGTTCCAGAGCAGCTGGGTCTGGCCTTTTGATGATCTCAGCTGTGTCCCAGGTGATGTGGTTGTTTCAAATTAGAGAAAGGGAGCCCCCACCCCCACGACTGTCTCCTAAGATGGATGGGCAGAGTCCAAAGAGTGACAGGTCCGAGGAGAGGGATCCTCACTTCCCAGAGTCACACAGGGATGGGGCACTGAGTCACCCCTTCCCATTGCACCTGCTGCCCCCACCCCTGTTCCCAGGGAAGGCTGGAATCAAGATGAGAAGGCAGGAAACAATTCGAACAGAAAAACAGCCCGCCCCCACTTCGTCCCTCAGAATCCCTCGAAAACATGTGCCTTATAAATATATGAGCTCAGTTATAAACAGCCATGTTCCCTTCAGAGGCAGAAGCAACTGTTTAGCTTTATTGGGCACCACAGACACATCAAAGCCCAGAGCCTTGTGCTAGGCAACTTGGAGTTCTGCCTGGGGCTATTTATTTTCTCTCTTTTTTTTTAGTGAAGTCTTTTTTTAAAAAAATTTTCTTTATAGCTTAGAGGGTTCACAAATCTGGCTTGCTTGTTCTCCGAAGGTCTCCAGTTCTAAAAAGAACATAGTTGGTCAGTGTCTGACTCATTGCCTGGGTTTCCCATGCAGTTTTATTAAGTAATGGTTTAAACGTGAAAAAGCGCAGGAGGCCGTTGGGTAACATCGGTGCAAACCTGGCCGAGTGCATTTGCTATCAGGAATTTTCTAGGCAACCCCGAGCTCCACAATTAGCAAAGGTTGTGCTTGTCGGGTCAGCAAGAGATAGTTTGGCCACTTCTGTAATAAATACCAAGGGAGCTCTTAAGGCAAATTCTAAATTTGGGACAAGAAACCCCTTAGGGGAGAGGGGCATGAGTAAGCCATTACCTACCTGTCAATAGTGAGTGGATTTTACAACTCTCCCTTCTTGAGGGCGCTGAAGCTACGGGCTCACTCTCGGCCGATCTGTTTTGGATTACTGCAGATCTTTATACAAAGAGCTACAAAAACAGAATTAAAAAAAAAACTGGCATCCATCACAAGTGACCACGTCCAAAAGTAAGAAAAGAGAAAAGTTGGACCCCGAAGAGCCAGCCTAATTTTTATTGTACATGAATGTCCTCTTCACAAAAAGTCAGCTGGTTTAAATTCATTCTGTTATGATTTGTAATATCTAAATGGAATTTTCTTCAAAGCGCCCTTGATTGATTGACCCTTAGCTGAACGTTTTGTTTTTATTTTGAGGCTGACAATAATGTTTGTTGGCATGTGTTCTGCCTCAACTGCGTTGGGACGCCATGAGGCTATCCTTATGAGTCATCCAACCACAATACTAAATACATGTCAGCAAAGGAAATATTATCTGAAAAGGGAAAAATCCCTTTGATGTGCTCCAACATGCCGGGATTTCTGCAAGCTTTGGAAGCTCTGGGTGCTTGTAAGGAATGGTGTACGCTTACACATTCCCCCCCTCCCCTCTTTCGGCCTACTCTGCGCCTCAGAAGACCACCCATCGCTCGAAAACAGTCCTGGTCTTTCAGCAGCGAAGTGTGTCGCTGGGTTTCGGCACACTCATTTGCCGGGCGCTGTGTTTATACTAAGGGAAGGCAAACCCAGAGATGAAATGTTACAAGGGGGAGGTACAAAGTAGACTCCATTTTTCTCAAGTTAGGAGATGTCAGTGATTTATAACTCGGTTCCAATTTTGATTTTTTTTTTTTTTATGTAGCAGTGGAAAAAATTAATAAAATGCGCAGCTCCTGGAGGTGCCAAGGCAGGAAGGGCAGCGAGGGCTGGACAAGTGGCTGCAGTTTTTGTCAGATATTCATAGAATGTTGGGGGGAAAAAACCCCATCCTGCTTAGCTAGCAGTGCCCTCGTGAGACAGACCGGCAGTAAGCTAGGAAAATAACAAGATAAATGAAATTTTTGCAGCTGTAAGTAAAATATTGAGAATCTGCACTTTTTTATTGATCTTTATGATCCTGTTGCCAAGAGCCACTTTGTGGTGACAAAATATGTTGACAAGTGCATATCTCACTGCCGTGAAAAATGTGGAGAAAGATTCCCCTTATGTCGGCAGTGTTCTACACAGGACAAATTACGCTGCTGCAGCCAATTCCTCCCAGAAAGGCAAAATTTAAGGCCCACCAACCCTAAACACTTTTATCTGGAACTTGAGGCTAATATTTGTAACAATCCCTCATTGAGGAAACCAGTCTCGACACCCTCATTCTTTTCAAAAATCTGTAGATTTTTCTTAATGGCACCAAAGATGCTGTTATAAAAAATGTTTATTTCTTGGGACCCTCACTCCATCATCCAGGGTGTAATCTTTCAGCCCGAGTAAAGTGCTCCTCTTGTATTTATTGAATTTCCATCCATTTCACACAAGAGGACTTTTCTCTTCTCCTACATCAAACTTTAGGGCTGGAAAGGGAAGCAGATAGGAAGGCTTTTCATTCTCTTAGTCCTTCTATCATTAAGTTGCTTTATTTTATTATGAATTTGGGGGACTCCCAACACCAAGGTGCCAGAATATACCGAGTGCTTGTTCTTAAAATAAGAAGTAAATAATGTTAATTTACATATGAGTTTGGGGCAGCGCTCAATTGCCTATGTAGTTTGCCACCAGAAAGAATTTTCTCATTAGTGTGAGATGGAATTTTTATTTTTTTAAAATGAACTCTTCTTTTCCTGCTCTCCCCTGGGCCACATATCTGTCTCTTCAAGACCCTCTCTGGAGGGGTACTGTGGAAATAAACTATACGTTGTTTATCATACTGAGTTACAGGCTCTCCTCAATTGCCTGGGATAATAAAGTGGGTGTAGATTTATTATAAACTGTTTAGGTGGAGCTGGGAAGAATGTTTTGGGGGCAATAAAAATGCGGCAGGACATTCGAGCATTACGTCTTACTAAGCTGGGTTTTCTTTTGTTTTAAATAGGTCGAATATATTCTACCGAGCCTGTATAGATATCCCCAGGGGCACCGAGCTTCTGGTGTGGTACAACGACAGCTACACGTCTTTCTTTGGGATCCCCTTACAATGCATTGCCCAGGATGAAAACTGTAAGAATCTCCTTTAGTTCTGAATTCACACGAAAAAAACTTAACCTGTTTCAAAGCTCACTTTCGAAGAATGCTTTTGGAAACTTCTAAAATGTGGTTCACTGTGATACATAAAGCGAATATGCGTGGGTCCTTCTACCACCGTTTTTCCTTTCCTGGCCAGCTCTTTGCCTGTTCATAGTTTCAAAGCCTTTGCCAGAGTTTTAAAGAATGGCTGACAAAAACCGAGTGTGGAGTCTGCAGGTCTCTACGGAGCACCCACTGTGTGTCTGCTCTAATGCTAGCCACCCTTAGAGGGAAAATGCCAGTTCCTGCTCTTGTTGGGGCCACACTCCAAACAAAAATAACAGAGAAACATTGCTCAGTCAAGACTATGCAGCCATTTGACTGTGAATTAGGATAGTCGTTTCAATGATGGGAGTGAAAGCTATAGGTAGAAGACTGTGGAATTCGTGTCTTTCTATATTTTCTTCTTTAAAACCATGTCTAGAACCACAAAAATTTCTCGATACCCTTGTTATCCTGCCAAACATGACCTTGAAAACAATAACAGACTATTTAGGCTGATGTGACCTTGCAGCAACTTTGACTTGAACTTACTTCAAGTTCAAGTGTGATCCTTGGGAAAAGTCCAGGTGCTATCCATATTTGGAAAAGATTAAGGCAAATCCCAGTGGGCATCAGGGAGAGCACTAGCTTCAATGATGTTGTATTTTTCCTGTCACTAAGCTGTCTCATCTGTGAAATGATAATTTGATATGCTACACGAAAGGAACAGAGACAACAGATGGGTTTGTTGATGGGTGGAGAGCTTCGTCTTGGAAGAAGCGGTCTTTTCCTATTTCCGTCTCCATTCTCTTTTTCTCACGCACCCATCCCGCAAAAGCTTTCCGCACCACTCATCACAGTGCTGGTCTTGTCCCTGTTGTCTTTAATTCCTTTGGGTGGGGGGAAAAAAGAAAATCTTTAAAGAGTACACTACTATCAACTTTTCTGTTTTACCCTAATTCAAACCGAGCTCCAATGAAGACATGGATCATGGCGTTCTCCCGACTCGCGGAGTTTCCCCCAGAAATTTCTGCTGTGATACCCTTGTTGGAGGGAGTGTCTGTTTTCAGTGGAGGCAATCTCCACTTTTGGCGGCATGGTTGTGTGGTTGGCATTAGAGCAGACAGAAGCATCGCGGCCTCTATGTTTTCCCTTCCCCAGCATGACACCCTGTCTGCCTTCCTCATGAATAGAACTAGAAGCTGGTGCTGTGGGTTTTCTCTGTGCTGGAACCCTGACTCAAACTCAGCTCCTAACGGGTGGAGGGTGAGCCGAGAGAAGTTTGGGAGTTCTGTGATGGTCTTCATTCCTCCTTGACTACAACCTGCTACACGCTCTGAAGATGCCGTGTTGTGCGCTGAGGAATGTGTGGATGTAAGCACAGGAAGGCCCAGAGTTCTGAAGTACAGCTCATCGTTCAGTCAGTCATTAATTCCTATTTTGATTGATCACCTACCATGGGCCAGTCTTCGCTAGGCACCACACATGCAGAAAGAAGAAAACAGTCAGGGAACCCTACCCTCATGGAGCTTATGTCTAGGGACAGGGCGCCGTAAATATGTAATTAGATGTTTACATATTTACACAGACAGTAGTGTGTTGTGAAGGTACTAAAGCAGAAAAAGGATGTGTGCTAGGCGTTTGGGGCTGCAGATTTAGGGAATGACTTGAAGTGGTCCCCAGTGGCAAGCTAGCCTTTGATGGAAGACTTAAGGAGGGGAGGGACTGAGTTACATGCTACTCTAGAGAAGAGTATTACAGGCTGTTGGACAAAACCCCTAAGAGCCTCTTGATGGAAATGTCCCTTGCATGTGGAAGAGCATCCCAGAAGTTGGCCCCGGGTATGGTGGAGTGAGCGACAGGCAGAGGATAAGTCAGGTATGGGTGAAATGGGGGCGGGGCGTGTATCTGGTTCCCTGTGAAGACCCTGCCTTTTGCTCTGTGAGCCTGGTGATGGGTCTGGAATGGAGTTTTGTGCAGTAGTGAGATGGTCTGATTGAAGTTGTAGTTGGATTCCTCTGTCTTTTGCATGCAGATGGCAGCATGAACAGTGAGGTAGAACTCAGAGGCTCTTGTAGAAACCAGGGGAAAAGTGATGGAGGTGTGGACCAACGTGGGAGTGATGGAGGTGGTGAGAAGTAATTGGACACGAGGCATATTTTGAAAGTAAGGCCAACAGCATCTTCTGACACTTTAGGTACCCAGTAAAAGGTGTCCAGGATAACTGAGTCTTCTAGTCTATCTAAATAGAAAGTGTGGGATGGTCACATAGGGATTGCCATGCCTGCTTGGGTCTCTGGAGTAGAAGTCGTATGTTCGTACATTGTTGTCACCACATGCATGGGGGTGACTGGGGTTGCAGGTAGGGAGGGCATTTTGCTGTCTGTTTGCCATTGACCACCACCTGGCAGCGATCTGAGTGTACCAAATGGTGTTCCGATTCAGGGCCATAGTGCCGTTAGAAATGTGCTCTTTGGAACAGCACACTGTTCGTTTTCAGGCCTTTCTCCTGCAGCTGTACCTGTGTGAAGCATTCTTGAGGATTCTGACTAGAGTGTAAAGTGAACTCTGCCAGGGCGTGTTATGCCATTTTCACTCCTGAAATCACCACGGTGTACAGTTTGTGGCTTCAGTAGGAAAGCCAGGTTGCCCCTTTCAGGAATCAGTTCCGAGTTCTCAGTAAGGATTGAGGGAAGTTTAAAGAGAATTAAGTCATCGTCTAAAAGGCTTAATGGTGACAATGTCTCTTTCCCCTAAGGGTGTTATGGGAATTTTTATTTCACTTCCTGTCTCAAAGCCATATATCTGTCATGGGATTGGCCACCCAAGAAACTAGCAGAAGGCTTCATCAGATAGTGAGGGGGTAAATATGACTTCACTTGTAATTCTGAGGTAGAGTCTCATTCCATCTGATCACAGAGAGGCCGGGGAGTGCTTTGTGATGAGGGTTCCTTCTTCCATGCTAAGAAAATAGTCATGAGACTTAGACATGCAGATGTATGAAGAGGCACAGCAGGGAATCTAACAGATAGGCTTCCTCACCCCGGGTCATTCAAGTCGTCTCAACAGATCAGCAAGTCGAAGATGATTTTTACCACACCTTGCTGGTGAAAAACTGAATTAGGTTTCAAAAAGGAGCTCCTTGAGATCAAAGCCTCTCTCGTCAAACACACTTCTTTAGTGTCGTGTGCAAAGCATGCGATTACATGTGTTGGGCTGGGGAGACGCCGCAGCAGGTTAGGGCACCACCAAGCCTGGTGGATCTCTGCATTTCATCCCAGGTCCCACATGGTGGAAGTGGAGAAGCAGATGCCTGAAAGTTGTCCTCTGACACTTGTGCCTCTCTCTCTCTCTCTCTCTCTCTCTCTCTCTCTCTCTCTCTCTCTCTCTCTCACACACACACACACACACACACACACACACATGCACGCACGCGCACACACACACATGCACACATACACACACATGCACACACACATGCACACATAAACACACGCACGCACGCGCACATGCACGCGCACACACAGACACACACAGAGTTAAAGTAAAGGTACACTGGATAAAGATGAGACCTTCTATCACAATTATAAGAGGAGGTTAGAAATTATTTCAGACAGATCTCCCTTTGTTAATGAAACGGACACTGAGCTAAGATATCCAAGGAAAATGTGATTTTAGTTAGTGAATAGTACTTATTAAGCACTTTCAGTTATAAAAGTGTCATTTTCTTCCCAGGGTTCTTTCAACATGCAGCACACACACTTCCCATTGATCATGTGCAGTGGGACCTGGGGCTCAGTAAGTGCCCGCCTCTGTCAGCGGCGTGTAGCTGTGGGGCCACTGGGTACATGAACCGCCCGGCAAAAGCCGCCTGCCCTCAAAGAGGAGACAGTACGCCACACTGGCATCCGGGCTCTGGAAGCAATTCCTGTGTTGTTTTCTTTTTAAAAAACTATAGTTCAAAAATGTAAGAGAGCCCCAGAGGAGAGAGCCTCTCCCTCCACCGTGGGCCTTTCAAGGAGCCTGAAGGAAGGCTTGTGTCGACAGATCACATCCTCAAGCAGGAGCGAGGTCGCCCCAAGCTTCCAGTGGGGGATTAGCTCCTGCAGAGTGTAAAGACCCGAGTGGTTCGTATTCTTTTCAGAGGAAATTAAAAGAGAGAAAGAAAAAAAAAAAAGGCCTGGGAATAAACGTTAAACAAGTCTTCCCAGTGCTTGTTCTGTCTCGGCGTATGAAGCCGAGGTGGCCGAATGTGAGACTTGATGGCCATGAGGGAGCTGCCCTGGATTAGACCCTGCCTGGGGGAGGCCTGTTCCTCTTGATTTGCAAAGAGCAGCCAATCAAAAGGGCCACCTCTGCACAGGGCCTCTCATCCCCTCTGTCCTTACGGACAGTAGGAAGGCAGCCTAAGGAGAGCCCTGCGCGATCCTTTATTTGTGTGACCTTTAGGATACTGTGATACCACTTAATCCAACAGGGGTATCTGTATCTGCGTGTGCAAGGCCTGAAAGGAAGCGTTGTGATGGTGTGCAGAAACGCTAGTCCCTGCCAGCTTTGGAGGCTAGAAACAGGTTCATGAGCATACAACTTAAGCACAAAAGTCATTGAAGGCGCCTCTTGGGGGAGCTACGGTAGAGCCCCCGAGCTGAGGATGTTAGGTTGAATATGGTCAAGAGGAGCCAGAGCATCTACCCCTCCCTACACATAGAGAGACACTGGAATTGGGCTCCTTACACAAGTCTGAATATAGCAGGGAACTATCCTTTCTCTGAATGGAGACTAGAAGAATGTGGACTCCAAGCCAAGAGGCCAAGAAACTGTCCATCTTGAGACACTGTGACACCAGTACATACATTGCTATAGCCATAAAATGGTGTAGGCCTTGATTTTTATTACTACCTGCCAGAAATAAAATCTCCAGGTCCATCCTAACACAAAAATGGGCCGAGGGC